GAGGTTTTTTTTTTTTGTGTGTCTCTCATGATTATCTGAATAACTGAATTAGTCTAGGTCTCTTGTGAATTTTCTGGTTGAAATAGGGCAGGTGCAAAAAATTAGATATTCCATGATAAAAAAATCTTTTAAAAAAAATAAAAACTGGTAACAAAATTTACGCTATAATTAAAACTTATTTTGGTATTAGGTTGAGCATCACGAACATTTTGGCTAGGAAGGCCAAGAATCGTGTAGGGTTTAAGCTAATACCAAAATAATTAATAAATTTTAAAAGATTGATTTTGTTATTAAAAAAATATAATCACCTTTATTCAAAATATATTCATCTGAAATGTACTAGTGAAAATCAGAATGAACAATTTTTTTAAACGATGATATGGAATAATTATACTTTTTTTTACATAATATTAAATTAAAAATCATATTAATTTAATGGGACTTTGAGTAATGAAACTTTAGAGTACTTGTTCATAACCTGCTTTTTTGCTAAGTCAATGCGGTTTGGTTGTTTTTCTATAAGATTTCAACTGCATAATTTCAATAGTTTCATTCAATGGGCAAGAGATACGTTTTTTTTTCAGCTGGATGAAGATGGTAGACATGATCGAATTTAAAGAATTATAATTCTCATCAATACTACTCTCTAGAGTAAAAGGAATTCTGTACTGCATGATGGTAAGTCTTAGCAACCGAAAACCGTAATTAAAGAAATTCTAGAAAATTTATAATTCATAAGGTTAGCCTTTCATTGTCGTTATAATAGACCTGTTCAACAACATAGCCTTTTTGCAGATCATTTTGACATCAAGTCTCAACAAAGGTTGGTCCATTATTTTATCAAAAGAGTCGAAGTGGACCATAAAGGTTCTCTGTTATGGCATCATATGCTTGAGAGGTTCTCTAGTTCACAAATTTTCTTGCTTGCACTTTAAGGCAGTTCATGACTCCTTCTATGCACTTTGTTTTCATATGATGATTTATTGAATTTTGTCACATAGTAATTTTAAGCCACAGGAATCTCTTCTTGTCATTTGCACAAAGACAAAGTTAATCAATTTGCACTCTTTTTATATAGGATCTTCCTCCATTATTGCACCAGATATTTTGATGATGCTCAACTTCTTTCTAAATTATGATATTTGTTCTTTTAATAGTGATTTAATCAGGAACTTCTTTTCTATTTCCCATTTCAAGTCATTCTGATGTAGTACCATAAATTATGCTTTTTATTAGTTACATATTGTCTTTTTATTAAAAAAATAATTTACAATTTTAAACATGATTAACAGATTAAAATTTTTAAAAAGTTTGTTATAATCATGAAGTTAAATTATCATATAAGTTATATAATTTTCGGACCCCCAAATTTATCCTCATTTTGTCTTTGGTCTTTTAAGTTTCAAAACATAAGTTTTGATCCCTCAAGAGGTAAAATGATTCAAGTTTTTATGAAATTATAATGACCAATATTTTAAATGAAAAGAAATTTGAGGGACCAAAATTTATAGTTTAAAATTTGAAGGACTAAAATGAAAATAAAGATAAATTTGAGAGATCCAAAGTTTTATTTAACCCAGATTTTTATAAGATCAATCCGTATTAATAAAATAAAATAATAGATATAAAGACTTTGACTTCAGTTTTTCTTTATCTGTTTAACTATATTAAAAAAAAACAAGCTGAACCAAGCAAACAACACATGATTTGATTCGCAAATTAGATTAGACTACTTAATCACTCTCAAATATGTTTAGTGGCATGTAAGATTAAAATTCTTTTAATAAACTACTTAATCACTCTCCCCCAGCACGCCCTCTCTCGATATATATAAAATGATTACATTCCATACAAAATGAATTTTTTTTTCTTGGTAAAAATACAAAATGAATGTTAAATGAAAGTGTACGAGCAGGCTCTTTCCCCATTCCACACAATGAACAATATTTGTACGTTGTTAAACGATGTTACATTTATATAATAATATAATGATAATTTAAAAGAAAATAACAGGTTAATTCTGATTTTATTAAAGCAATAATAATAGTAGTAGGAATCCATATATTTTCATGTAGTATAAAAACTTTGACAAGTTATATTATTTATAAGTCTAATAATACAATTTATTTTTAAAACTTTATGCCATATATGAAGCTCGCGCTAGTTATATATATAACTAACAATGATCGTTAATAATGTTGTTCACATTTTTTAAATTGAGAAAAAAATGCAAGAACAAGAAATTACGTGTTAGTTTTTCCCTCTTGTCATGTGTACAGGCGTGCTAGTTATTCATGCAATTTTTTGCCAGAAAATAAATATCACAAAAGTAATTTTTTTTATCGATATAACAACTAATTATTTTTTAAAAAGATTTTCATATACCAAGTTTTCATATACTTCATTCCATTACTAACCAAGAATCCCTGGCGTAATGCATTACCTTTGTTAAACTCAATTGGGAAATTAATAATACTATCCCATGACATAGGGAACTAGCCATTGATAATTTGGATTTAAATTAGGTTAAGTCTCAATTGGGTCCTAAATAAAGTTCCATTTGGGGAAAAAAGCTCCAATGGATTTGTTTTTCTTAATGCAGAAGACTTCAACTTTCAAGCGGAAGCTTTTATATAAAGGGTGTCATTCAAAAAATATAATTATCACTGGTTATGGATAGACATTTTAACATAGACTAAGTAATCTTTTTGGCCAAAAAGAATTATTGCCCGTCCAGTATTAAGAGTTATTTATCCAATTTGATTAATTTACTGGTAAAAAAATTAAAAAAATAAATAAATTATTTAATTATAATATGTGTGATCTAATCTTTCTAAACTAATTCTGTATAATATTATTAAACAATATATTAGTTTATTAACAATAAAATAAATCAAAATATTATATTTTGGACGAAAAATTAACTATTTTCCCATTTCATGTCTGCCTTAACGGCGCTTCGGTACTCAACTAATTAATGGCATCATCTATGACGTAACAATATCCTCTTGAAACCGGACCATGCCAATTGGGGTTTGAAGGGCTTTCTTCTTTATTATATTAAGATTTGGTTTTAATTGGTAAGGGGGAAAAAACATTTGGTTCTAATATTGTCTCCTTTCACATGTATAAAAAATGAAACTATATTTACTTAAAAAACTGAGTAATTTAACTGATGATTGTTATAATGGATGCATGTAGAAATTTGTATTCCTTGCTTGCAAAAAAATTGCTATCTCTCAAATATAGAGGCTAGATAATTAATTTATAAATATTAAAGAAATTATTTATTTATAATAAATACATGTTAATTTTTCTAATTAGAGTATTCTTTTTAATAATTTGTATTTGATATTACTTTTCTTTAACATATGTAATTAACAAGAAGAGTTCAATAAAAAGTTATAAATTTAAAAGATAAAATGAATTGAAATCCTATATTTAAAATCAAAATAAATTCTTTCACTAATTTTTATATTTAGGACAGGAGGCAGTATTATCTAATTTACAAGGATATGCATGTTATCACATCTTCTCCCTTTGGCCTCTTTATTTATAAAATAAAATAAGAAGCTGAACAGGTATTTTTGTTTCTTTAATTTATATCAAATTTTACTTTGATTTATTAATTTTTATAAATTATATTTTTTAATGAAAATAAAATATCTTTTTTTCTAATTTTAACATAAATACTTTTATTAAAAATATGTTTTATAAAATTAGTATGCGAAACTAAAATATCATATAAAATCAAAGTAGTGGATGTGCTCTTTTACCTGGAAAAAAAAAACAAATTCCATGTGGCACAAAGTATCCTCCATCATTATTATATAGACTATTTTCTTTGAAGTATTGATGATAAAAAATAAACTTCCTAAATTTAGTCTAGTCTAAACCTAAATTCTAAACATCGAATCAATTAACATATTGTTTAAGGAACTAGAATCTATAGTGATACTTTTGATTTCTAGACTCTAGCCATTGAACATGGAGCACGCTTTTGTTTCATCTAACAACATGATACTTGCATATAATATATAACATTCCAATTTTCATAATTTAAATTGCTCCCATTTTCCTTGAGTTAAATTTAAATAATTATAATAAAATATAATAAAAATTAAATAATTTAAATTAAATTCAAACAATCCAAAAGAAATATACGTCTTGAGAATCTACAAGTGAATGGCTTAGTTTCCGATACAAATCTCAGTAATTTTAATAGGGAGCCAATTGGACTGTCATTTTCTTGGACTAGTCTAATGGGGTGGGCCAAGGCCCATATGTAGTGGATCTGAATAAATTCTCAGCGTCTGGCCCATCCAATGTGGATTTTTTAACAAGAGGCCTAAAAATCATCACTCTCGAGTAGAGTGCCCAAGCCAGCACCGGTCATATGCTCTGAAAGTTAAACGACGGCGTTTTTGCCTCTACCATCATGCGGAAAGGTTTCGGAAAATTATGAACACTTGGATTATTGAATATTTTCCCTCCCATTCCGCTTCTCCATCAACTCCAAAACCTGGCTAGTCAAGCTTTGTGTCCAGTTCTGCAAGTGCAAATTCAGGTAATGCTTCTCCTTTTGCCTTCTAGCGAAGGGTTATAGAACTGCAGTGTTTTCGTAAACGATGTGGAATTTTAGCAATGCATGATGATATTCTTCAATTCTTTCATGTCCTCCGGTTCTTCCTGAACTGTGTTGCTGTTGGAGAATGGATCAGAAAACACTGGAAGGAGGGGAACAAAACGTTTTGAATTTTAAGTGTGCGAAGATCCTTCATGGAGCTGATAAATCTATCGCTTGTCAGACTCCAGAGAAGACTAGTGAGCCGTTACCCACCAAACTCAAGGAAGGATCCACACAGCTTCCAGAAACGTGAGCGCCTAATTCTCTTTCAAATTCAGTTCTCATTTCTCACTATTGTTGGTTGGCATGTTGTGCTGCTGCTATTTTCTCTTCGCAGAAAATTCTTGTACAGGGATCTTGGGCAGATAAAGTATATACTTCCTGAAGCCATATGCGTAGAGAAGGTATTAGTGCATGATAATAGAAACTTGTGTATGAAGCCTGATTTGAAGATCACCTTGGTACATGAGGTTGTGCTAGGACACTCTAGTGAAAATACTTATATGGCTCTCCGGCAACTTTTTGTTTTTAGGCTGCTTGAGTTCTTCAATACGCATCCAGAGGTATCATTCCAATATTGTGTTGTTATGGCTTATTGTATTTGTTCTGTCTAAAGCTGTTATGACAACCATAGCAATATTTTGGGATCGTCCTATAGGTCAAACTTATCTGATTTGCTTTTATGTAAATATCAATTTAAATTTTCTTGGTCATGGGGCTGGATTGGTAAACAAAATAGCATGGAATGAGAAGTGTCCGCTATGTCCTTAGATAAAAAAGGTAATAAAAATAAATAATTACTGTAGAGTGACGATAATAGGAGCGTAATAGATATTATGTACTTCTCTGATCCACAATATAATTCCTTTTTCCTTAGTTTGGCTTGGTCCAAAATATAAATCCAGTTTGATAATATTTAGAGCATTTAATATTTGTCTCCCTATTTTCCCCTTCTATACAATTAAACTTTATAAGTAATTAGTCATAATAATTAATCTAGCATTGACTTTTGTCAATGGCATGTTTGGATATCTATTCTTTACATATTTAATATTATAACTACCATTTAACTAATATTTTTTGGTCCATGTGAGGTGCTTAAACCAGTTATATTGTGGCCCAGAGGAGTATCTTGACTTTTTTGTGAATTTCTTTCCTACAATTCACCAAGTGGGGTGTAACTTTTAAATGTAAACCTAGAGAGTTTTGATCCTTTTGTAATAACTCTGTTTGTATGTAGATTACCTTTCTCTATACTGTGAGTTTTGAGTGTGGTTTCGATCTGGTAATTTTTTTTTTTTAAATTCAAAAACAAGTTAATAAATCTTTCTCAGAAGTTTTCTTTACTTTGTGGTCCAGAATACTGATATCCCAGAAGCTACTCTACCAGAACCTTTTCAACAAAGAAATAGCTTGATTTGTGAGGACTTGCCTGTAGATCCTTCTATACTCTCATCATCAACTCCCGATCAAAATCAACATCTATTACAGGAATGTCAGCCATATCCTTTAAAAAGGCATTTCTCAAAGAATAATGCTGTGTCAGAGACAGAAAATAACGTTGTAACAAGTCCAATTGGTCAGTCACATCATTCATCTGATTGCTTGGAAAATGAAGGAGGTGAAGGTGGCAGTGAATGGCAGAAAAAATGTACTACTTCATATTTGAAATCTGATAGCACAAATGATCGGGACATGGAAGAAGGACAGCAGAATGAATCATGTTCTATGGGATTCCAATGTAGTGTTGTTAATACGCCAGCACGTCTGATTTGCTCTCCACAGTCTGTTAGTTGTGGTAGTTATGGAAGCTCTCATCTCAAGATTGCCTCATCCACAGATATGTTAATGACAGAGACACCTGCTCAGTCAACACTTAGAAGATTGGCACCCAGTTCTGATGTTAAACTTAAGATTATGACCACCCAAAATTCAATCTCATGCAATAAGCATGTAAAAAGAGTTCTTTTTTCACATGAAGGTGATTATGATGGTGACAAGTTAGAATCAAGTAGAGATGCTTGTGAAAACATCCCTGAAGATGGTCGAGCATGCACTGAGGATTTTAGTGTTTCTAATTTTGTTGTTCTATTCCAGAAGGTATGCCTTCTGACCCTGCTCCTATTTTTTTAATTCTTCAAGGCATGGTATGCTTCCGAAAATCATTCATAATTCCATGCAATGATTGCTTTTTTTATATACAACAGAAAAGTTGCAAATAAAACTTCTCTATTTAAAATTTTGTAGACTTTACTTTTTAGGTATTATTGAGCGAGCATGTATTCCTTTTCCGTGTTGTTCATAGATGCTGGTATTTTGTTCATTTTGTATCTTGATCTTGTACCTTGGTTGGATTAAAAGAATAAAATAGAGTTCAGTGTTGTTTGAGTTGATCGTCTTCGTGTTATAACAAGAGTGAGGGACATACTAAACAATGGTAGCCCATATTCTATTTTTCTCTGCTTAAAAATATATATAGAAAATGGGGCAGTTGTATAATTCTAAAAGATACATGCATCTCCATTATATTCATTTTCGGCATGGATACATTTTGAAATTTGAATAATGTAGTAAGAGTTTATAATTAACTTAAATGTATTGTCACAGAGGCCATGATTTGATCAAGTTATTGCTCTTGCCCCAAATTATTTTTCCTTTTTGTTTTCTGGTAAATGTTACATCTTTTTTGTGAGTTTTTTGTGGTTTTATATTCTTGTCATTATCTCATATTTGGTTGCTCAGTACAGGTGGTTGAGGTCATTGATTGTTCTCATAAAAATACGAATCATATGGTGGTGCAACAACTGGGCAGCAGATGCCTTCATTGTTGCTTGGCCTTGTTGATGTGATATATTCTATATTTTGTTCCATCAAAAGCTCTCCAATCACAAAAGAGGAGCTCCTGCCAAGATAATAATGAACAGTTTAGATTTTGTTGAGATGAGTATGTATTGATTGTGACTATAACTCAAAGTAGTTTTTAATTGCTTGTTAGTGTCTTAACAATGATGAGTGACTAACTACTTGGTCTTCTCTACAGGAGAAGCTGAAGAGCAGATTAATTTTCTTGAGAAGGTAGTGCCGGATTGGATCTACAAGAAGTTGGGCCCTAGTGGAGATATTATGTACTGGTGAGTCTCTCAATTTGCATCTACTGACCATGGAAACTGAGTGGATTAGATCATTGTCAGATGCCAAAGTAAAATATTTCTTAGCTTTGTGGATTTGTATATTTGAAATTCGGTTTTGATTAAATAAAACTAAATTTTTGTGCGTTGGTTTTGTTAATTCTCATGCATACAAATTATTATGCTTATATGAGTCATGTGGCCAGTATATCGCCCGCAAGGTAGTGGTGCCCTACTAGTCACAAGACTAGGGACGGGCATATCATTAGATTTGCATGTCTTGTACAAACTATAGGTGGCGATGTCTTTTCTTGGTAAAAACATCCCAAGTCAGCATTCTTTGTGTTCCGGTTTGAGTTGTAATGTACTGAAAATGAAGCCATCAATAAAAAATGAAAGGGAAATGAAATTCAAGCTACTATGGGATGCCATGCCACACTAGAAATTTGGTTTTCACTTTTAATGCTGCTATTAGTTTTTCTTTTGAATTTGGGATACTCTACCTCTAGAATGTCCTGACTCTGATGATTTTGCAGTATTAAGGAAGTGCCAGATTTGGAGTCTGTTCGATCAAGGCTATCTAGCAATAGCATTAAGGCTTGAATCATACTCAAGATGGTTCAACAACCTGGGATTAGTGTGCCTTCGTCGTTGCTTGGCCTTGTTGATGTGATATATTCTGTATTTTATGTCAAATGCCCTCCAATCACAAAAGAAGAGTTCCTGAACAAGTAAGGAACGGTTTAAATTCTGCTGAGATTATTATGATTTTGGATAGATGACTCATCCCCATGCTCATGTTCAAATTACACTCCTATTTTCTCCTGTCAACGGCACAAGTCATCTCTAAAAGAATGACTTGGTCCAAACCAATGAAACCATTAGTTATTTGAAAAGTAACTATTACTTATTTGTCAAATTCGTTCCTACAATTGATAACATCTATATTTTGTTGTCTCCTCTGTAATCTTATTTAAATATGGGTAGAGTTGAAATTTTTTTTTTAATTTGAGATAAATTTAATAAGTTAGCTACTATGTTTTGATCTTGACGAATTTTGTGGGCACATCTTTTTTTTTGTGGTCTCCTATGCCATAAATATGCCGTGCTATATATTTGTATATATCAGCTTCATTTTGCAAAATAATAAAAGATAAATTGTAATTTTTTCTATTTTAAACAAAACATTTTTATTTGTTAATAGATACCTTGTAACAAGCAAAACATTGTTAATATTAAAAATATATTTTTAATGAATAAGAATATAAGAAGCACATATAAAAGTTATGCTTTCAATATTGTCCTTGTGCCATTTTCTTTTAGAGGTAAGCATTCGGTTTTTTAGTTTGGTTTTCTATGATACTGAATTAACCAAATAACCGAATATAGTGAATTTTAAATACCAAATTGAAATAGATTAACCAAATTAACTGAAACTAAATTAATTAAAATATTTTGATTCGGTTAACCGATTAATAGAAATATATAAATATAAAAAGTGATTTTAAATTAAAAATAATAATAAAACATATTTACAACCATTAATTAATAAATATTTCATCATTTAATGTGATTTGTTATAATAATATTATTACAACCATATTTATTGAATATAATATATTTAAAGAGTTTATATATACCCACATATATATTTATTATAATAATATTTATTAAATATAAATATATAATATATTTATTTTAGTTTTTTAGTTATAACCGAATTTTTTTTTCCACTCACCGAACCGAATACTGAAACTGAATTGCTAAAAAATAAAAACCAAAATAATTGAAATTAAATTCAGTTTGTTTCGTTTTTCGGTTACGGTTCGGTTTTGCTCACCTCTATTTTTTTTTAAAATTTTTACTAAAAGTTTAATGATAATAAACCTATATATGAATATTTATTAAATTAATTTCTGTTTAACAAATGAACTGTTATATAGGCAATACATGATTGCTTTATTGGAATGTTGGTAAAAAAAAAAATCAATTCATCCTCTTATAATGTATTTATTTATTTTAATTAATACTTTTAAAAGCTTACAAATCTCTTCCAATAACAATCATTATTAACACTTTAAAAAGCTTTCTATCGCTCCCCTAAACGTTTTTGCTTTTGTGCCTCATTGAAACGAAAAATACAGGACCCCACTCATAATCACATCGTTGATGGGTGGGAGAGATGATGATGGCACCACATTCATGCACAATGAAACAAGCGTAAAACTAAAATGTTACTCAGTTTGCTTCTGTTTTAGGTCCGCAAAAACAGATTTGAACACAATAAGTTACACAAAAAGATCAGTTTCATATTGACCTTTCATTTCGCGTTGGCTAGCTCATCAGGTCGTCAGCCGACTCACTCAAAGTTATTCATTTACATTACTAACTCTACTCATTAATATAAAAACTAGATAATTAATTTACAAATATTAAAAAAATTAGTTTAGTTATTTGTAACAAATTTGAAGACTAGTTTGTATTTGCTTATCTTAAGTGCCTATAATTATTTTTATGTAAACTGAGATAAAATTCCTTTCATATACTTATCTCTTATTTGATAAATCATGATTGAAAAGCTACTTTTAATACCATGATTCCAAACAAACTTTGAATTGGTTTTTATAAATTATCATCTTTAATCATGTACATTTGAGCTGCTTTTTAATTGAGAGTTTTTTATTATGTGCAATCAATAAAAATAATATAAACAAAACTATACATTTTGAAGACAAAATAAATTAAAGTTTTATATTTAAAACCAAATGAATTTCTTGTTTAGATTCTATATTTAGTACGTGAGCTACTAACAATCTTAATGTTTAGGGATGGACCTACTGGCTGATGGCCTAGTAGAAAAATATCCAAAGACTTAATTATAAATTGGAAAAAAATATAAGAAATTTGTATGTTAATTTACTCCCTCCCCTTGTATATCTGAAATATAAACAACCAAATTATGTGGAGTAGTTAGTTCGTTTGCTTTGATGTGTGTCAGCGTTTTGCATTTCGTTGTTCTGCAGTGTCCCTTTCCTTTCCACGAAGCCACTAAATGACAGTGAAATAATGACGAAGTTTTAGTCCTAGTCCGTTCCCACGCTGGTCGAAAAAGAAAAAAGTCTGTTCCCACGGCCTTCCATTGTCACATCAAATTGCTGCTCCATCTTCCAGCCTTCCTTCCCAGTCCTTCGACAAATCCACTGTATTATTACACGTGGCCTCATGAGATAGGAACTAATTGCACTATTGGTATTCTTACATTTTCCCCTTTGACTAAAAAAACAATCTCTTCTGAAAGCCAATGAAATCTTATCTCGGTCATTTTCTCATATTTCTTTCAAGTTTCTACAAAGCCATTTACTAAATGAAAGGAATATATATATAGCTTAGCTTCAATTGGAATTCTGTTCTTTTCCATAATTACATCAAAGTGATATTCGATCTTCCGATCCTAGTCCTTTGCTATCTCTTTTTGCTCACTTCTTTCTTGGGCTCTTGCTGATTACTTACAGATGGACGTATGATGTGTTCCTTAGCTTTCGAGGCGAGGATACTCACTTGAATTTCGTCGGCGATCTCTACAATTCTCTGCATGATCTCTACAATTCTCTGCATCAAAGCGGAATCCATGCCTTCATCAATGATGAATCCCTAAAAGCTGAGGAAGAGATCAAAGCGTCTCTTTTAAAAGCCATACGAGAATCCAAAATATCGATAATAGTTTTTTCTGAGAACTACGCTTCATTAACGTTCTGTTTGGATGAACTTACTAAGATTGTAGAGTGCTTCAAAAGAGAAGGTCGGTTGGTGTATCCGGCATTCTATTACGCGGATCCTTCAGAGGTGAGACATCAGAGAGGTAGCTATGGAGAATCATTGCTTTACCTGCAGAAAAGATCGGAGACGGAGGAGTATAAGCTGCAAAAGTGGAGGTTGGCTTTGTCTCCAACAGCTAACTTGTCTGGGTGGCATCTCAAACCTGGATATTTACGTCCTTGCCTTTTCTGACTTTTCATGTTATATTTTTATTACTTTAATATTAGTTTTTATATTTATTTTTAACGAATCAGTGCTCTCTTTTATTAAATACCCATGCAACAATTACCCTAAAAATTGACTTTTAATAAAGAAAAAATTCAGCACTTTCCTCTCCCCCCCATTTTATAAGAAACAATTAATATATCTTATTATATTTATAAAAAAATATTAAATTTTATTGAATTTTCTTTAAAATTTAGTAAATTTTAAACTTTTCTTTTATTTAAAAAATAAAAAACGCCATCGTCATTTAAGGGGGAAATAAGTAGCCCCCGTCAGCACCCACAAAAAATGAATTATTCCGAAGGAAGGTGAGTCCCATACGTATCACGTCTCAAATTTTAATATTGCCTCTGGACCTCTAAATCCACTTGTTATTTTTTCATATTAAAATTAGAAAGAATAATTTATTATTTCAGAATATCTTATATATTATCACATAAGTTAAAATTTTAAAAATAATATATTCTACTTTAGAATTTATTATTAAAAAGTTAATAAATTATATTGTTTATAATTTTTAGTACTCGCAAAAATAATAAATTATAAACATAATCTTAAGTTGCTATTAAAATCATTTCTATTACATAGGGACACATGGGAATAATAAATTTTGGAACAAGATGTCTGGTTTAACTTTTTAATACATACGGGAGTAACAAATTAAATCAACAAGTTGTACAAATCATACTTTGCACGGAGTAATTTTTTTTTCAATAAAACAAACTGTTATTTACATTTTCAATATACCCATGATTAAGAAATTTAAAATAAAATGAGTCGTTATTCATACTCTTTTTATGCGTTTGGTAGTAAATTGTAAATTAGAGTATCTTGCTGTTTACATTTTAATTTATGTGAGAATATAAAGATGAAATCCATATCCAAGCGACACCTCACATATATATTTTAGACAAAAGTATGTCTTTAATCATTTGATTTCACATAACTACATAAGGTTTCTTTCGCTTTTATCTTTTAGTTTTATTATAAGGTATTTTTTGGGTTCCTCCATCCATAAGGTTGTTAATATAAAAGATGCTAATATTAAAATTTAAAATATTGATAAAGTATTTTTGAGTACTGATATACTAAGTTTAATTTTCAAAAGACTAATATGCAGGTTTGGTGGATTAAAAACAATACTTTATAAAATTAAAAAAATCAAATCAAAATTTCATATACATTAAAGGGTTAATTAAAAGTGCACTTCTGCCTATATTTTATTTCACTCCGTAACTTGGGATATCTCTGCTCGTGGTTTGATTGCGTTGGTTTGGAAACAGTTAAAAATTACATAATACTCCCTCCAATCCTATATATAAGATATCATTTGTAAACTATAAATGAGGTCTTATAATTAGGAGTAGCACTTTCTATCCCTAATATAAAAACTAGTTAAAAATTTAATTTGATTCTAAATATAAAATCCTAATTCACTTTGTCCTGAATACTTATCCTTTTCCTCCTAAGTAATCCTTATCTTGATTGCATATGTCAAAGAGTTTTCATTAAGAGTTACTTCCAATACATATAATTAACAAGAATATTTTAGAAAAAAATAACCATCTATTACAAATAATTAACTTAATTAATTTTATTAATATTCACAAATTAGTTCTATAACTTTTATATTAAGAATCAGAAATAATATGTCCAAACAAGCACCGAACAAATGATAATTTTTGTCATGGGCAGGATGGCAAAAGAACAAGAATATATTAGAAGGATCACTTGTGAAATCTCTACAAAGATCAATCGCACACCGTTACATGTCACCAATCATCCAGTTGGACTTGTGCCTCGGGTCCAACAAGTGATGTCACCTCTAGATATTTGGTCCAATAAAGAAGTCAAAATGGTTGGAATTTGTGGCATTGGCGGATTAGGTAAATCGACAATTGCAAGGACAATTTATAACTCAATCGCTGATCATTTTGAAGGTTTATGTTTTCTTTCTAATGTTAGAAAAACCTCTAACAAGCATGGCTTGCTGTATCTTCAAGAGATATTACTTTACAAATTAGTCATGGAAAAAGATCGTAAATTGGGAGATTCCTATGAAGGAATTTCTATTATAGAACATAGGCTTCATCAAAAGAAGATCTTTTTAGTTATTGATGATGTTGACAAATTGGAGCGATTACAGGCTCTAGTGAGAAGATGTGATTGGTTTGATTCTAGAAGTAGAATCATAATTACAACTAGAAATAAGCATTTGTTAGCATGTCATGGGATTAAAAGAATTTATAACGTCAGGGAACGGAATGATGAAGAAGCTCTTCAGCTGTTTAGTTGGAATGCCCTGAAAAAAGAAAATATAGATTCTAGTTACCTTGATATTTCAAATACTGTAATACTTTATTCATGTAGCCTTCTACTGGCCTTGGAAGTAATTGGCATTGATTTATGTGGCAAAAGGATTCATGAATGGAAATATACATATGATAAATACCAAAGAATACCAAATAAACAAGTTTTTGAAGTCTTGAAATTAAGCTTTGACGCTTTAGAGGATAAAGAGAAGGAGATGTTCCTTGACTTGGCATGTTTTTTCAAAGGTGAAAAATTAGATGTCATAAAAACATTGCTTAGTTTCCAAGGAGTTCATCCTGAGTATATTATTGGAGCACTTATGGATAAATCCCTTGTGAAGATTGAAGAAAATCATGTGACTATTCATGACATGATAGAAGAGATGGGCAAAAAAATTGTTAGGAAAAAGTCACCAAAAGAGCCTAGAAAACGAGATAGATTGTGGTTCTATGACTACATTCTCCATGTTTTACTAGAAAACATAGTAAGATTGTTTTATATGATGTTGTTTTTTTAAAACCTTTCCTTATATGAGTTGTATAAATCATATAATGACATTTATTATGTTTTCGTTCTATTTTTATAGGGATTCGATGAGATTGAAGTTATAATTCTAGACTTACCTGAAGATAAAGAAGTTCAATGAAGTGGAAAGGCATTTAAGCACATGAAAAAGGTCAAAATGCTTTTGATAAAAAATGCAAGCTTTTCTAGAAGTCCTGAATACCTCCCAAACACCTTAAGGTTGTGTTTGGTAGGAAATATTGAAAATTAAGGATTGAGATTGTGATTGAAAAAAATCTATTAAAAGAGTCTTTAGTATAAGAAATTGCTCATTATATGGGATTAGTCAAACCTATATGTGTGGAATTGGGGAATACCATGGGGAGAAGTGGTATTCCTCAATCCCACTTCTATAGGTTTGTCGAATCCCATGCAATAAGCAATTACTCATATTAAATATTATTTTAATGATTTTTTTCAATTGCAATCATAATCTCTATATTTTATTTTCAATACTTGCTTACCAAACGGGACATAAGTGTATTAGAATGGAAGGGGTATCCTTCTAAATTTTTGCCATCTAATTTTCACCCAATAAGGCTCATCCGTCTTGACTTGTCCAATAGTTCCATTAAATTACTCCAACCACTTAATAAGATATGCATATAATGTATTAGGACAAGCTTTTTTTTTTTCCCTTTTGATTTTAAGAATAAATTTTTCTTTATTTTGTAGAAGTTCAAGAGTCTAAGTTGCATGAATTTTAGAAATTGCAAGTTGTTAAGACAAATACCAGATTTGTTAGGAGTTTCCAATTTGATGGAATTGTGGCTTGATAATTGTACAAACTTAACTAAAATCCATGATTCAGTTGGACTTTTGGATAAGCTTAGAGAATTTAGTGCTATGCGATGCAAAAACTTGAGGATCTTACCAATTGTATTAAATTGGCATCTCTCGAACATCTCAACCTTTATGAGTGTTTAAGTCTTCGAAGATTACTAGAAATATTAGACGAAATGAGGAAAATAAGAGCAATTGATTTGGATAAGACAACCATAGAAGAATTGCCATCGTCCATTTGCAATCTGATTGGGCTTGAAAGCTTAAACATGGATGATTGTCATAACCTTAAACAGTTGCCAGTTGTCGTTTGTATGATGCCAAACCTATGGACAATAACAACAAACATTTGTGAAGAGTTGAGACATTTTAAGATGCATGAAAGTGAAAGAGAAGCATGCTTACACTGCTCGGCCATGTCGATGAAATTGGAACATGTTTGCTTCTCAAATTGTAATTTGTCAAATGGTTCTCTTGACTTTTGTCTCTCTTACTTCCCTAATTTGATACAGTTAGATCTAAGTTATAATAGTTTCACAACTCTTCCTGCATCCATCAAAGAGTGTCACCATTTGAAGTATCTTTCCTTAGATAATTGCAATATGCTTCAACATATTGAAGGGATGCCAAAAAAAGCTAGAAAAATTCAGTGCCTTGCATTGCACATTATTGAGTGAGACGTCAAGAAGGATGTTATTGAATTAGGTCTCCATTTCTTTTCTTTTTTTGTTTTTCCTATTTATAAATGATCAATTTTTTATGATTGTTAATCCTTCTCAGGCAATTCACCAATATCCAGGGAAAAAAGACTTCATTTTGCAAGGAAAAAATATCCCAGAATGGCTTGACAAATATAGTTGTGGAAATTCATTGTCTTTTTGGGTTCATAATGAGTTGCTAAATATTTATATATGGATCATTGTAAAAGATGACCAACTTTCTCTGTGCGATTGTAAATTTTCTGTACGTGTCAATGACATTGTACAAGAAATTTCTTCTGGATGGTTTTCACTTTCAACAATGAAGAGATATCACATATATCTTAGTGATTTGCAAAGCATAGTTCGCAAGCTTCAACTCTCCCTCATGGATAAATGGAATCATGTCAATGTTTCCATTGAGAACAAAACACAAAAAGTAAGAAGCAAGAAGGAAGTTTATTTTGCAATTCACAAGTACAGGCAAGGAAATAATGTTGAGAATATCAAGTTCATGAACCCTAAAGCATGCATAGATTATTATCCATGGAAACTAATTCAACAACCAGAAGATTTGGAGCAATTGAAAGATGCTATGAATCAAGACTCAAAATCAACTAATTATGTAGAATTAACCTAGAACAACATAAGTTATCAAGGTATCCATTGTCCTTTTTTTTGTGCGCTTCCATTGATATTCTATCCCTTTATATATGAGCTACTATGCATGTTAGCTTTGCATTTAACCCATATATTTTGGCTTTATCATGATCAGTGTTTTCTTGTATGATGTCCCATATAGTTTAATACAAGATTTATCTGTTATGATGATATAAGAAATATCAAACTCCTCCCCTGGTTGTTGGCAAACCTATAGATGATGGTTGTAATTTGCATATATCTTGTGTATGATATATTTTCATTGTGGCAGATATTGGCCCAAACTTTTGTTGTATCTCCAAATTAAGTGAAAGGAAGGACGGGTGAGATAACTTGATCTGAAGTAAGCATAATGCTATCCTGAGAAAAATAAGGAGATGGAAGGAAGATCAATCCATGATTTTAAAGTTAAAAGATTTGACTAATGTGGTTGTGGCGGCTAACCAATTGATTGAATTGTTGGAGAGTATGCTGCATTTGAACATAGAAGAGCAAGGGTACAATTTTGTGTTGATGGATCTCAAAATTCTAACTGATAAGGCACGACTTAAGGATGAGTTCAAGCAATTCCTAATTCAAAATAGGCATCCTTTTGATCATAAATCTACCCCCTTCTAGTCCAATGAATTAAAGGACACAATTGGTGAAGGTGGTTTCAGCAAAGCATCAGAAAAGCATATCTTGGATTTAGTCCGTCCAAAACTGCTCCAACATATTAAATGTATTGCAAGCTTAATGTTTGTGTTAGACTATAGTTGAGAATGTTACCATGCCTACAAAAATGTTCGAAGACACGCCTTAAATGAATGTCTGCTTCATCTTGAAAGAGAAAGATTGAGCATTGAAAATGTTTCAAAAAGGGAATGAGATAGTTTGAACTCCAAAATCAAAGGATGGATTTATCAAGTGAAAATATTTGTCAGGGTGTATATTGCAAGTGAGAAGTGGCTTAGTGAGCAGATTTTTGGAGACACTGAGGCCAGTTTGATTTGTTTTGTTGGTGCATTAAAGGCTTTGATATTGTGGTTTCTAGAATTTTGTGAAGCTATATCTGTTGGCCCTCACAATCCTAAGGGAATAGTTCGTTTTCTTGACATGTACCAAGTTCTGGCAGATCTAATACCAGACCTAGATACCTTGTATTCAGGTGAGGTTGGTTCTTCAGTTAGAATCAAGAGTAACGTGGTTCTAAACAAATTAGGCGCTTGTGTGGGGTCAATATTTCTTGCATTTAAAAATGCCATTGCATCAAATCCATCTCGATCTCCTTTCCCAAGTGGTGGAATTCATCCCTTAACCTATTATGTCATGAACTATATTAGTTATTTCTTGGACTACAATAGCACCCTTAATATACTGAATGGTGAAGAGGAATTAGAGTATGATATTTCACTGTACCACTCAATGAGCCATGACACATCACAAGTTAGTGACATCCTGGGATCTTCCCACAATAGTGTTTCCTCAGTCACAATTCATTTTCGATCAGTCACTTCAATCTTGGAATTAAAGCTTGAGAAAAAGTCCAAGTTACATAAGGAAGCTGCTTGTCAACACCTGTTCTTAATCACCAATATGCATTATATGGCTCAAAGGGTTCAAGAATCTCAATTGAAGCATATTTTTGGAGATGAATGGATTCAAAAGCACGTCTACAAGTACCAACAGCATGCATGGAACTACGAGCAAGCTAGTTGGAGTTCAGTTTTCTCTTTGCTTAAGGATGAGAGAATTCAATTATCTATGTTGCCTAATCTTCTCAAGACGAGATTGCGGAACTTCTACATTGTCTTTGAAGATATTTACAAGATCCAAACTGCTTGGGTGATCCCAGATCATTTACTGCGTGAGGGCACAGATCTTTATATCCCAAAAGCTAATTCATGCTTATTAGGCATTCTTAAGGAAGTATTATAATTATGTAGGTGACAAACACATTAAATACAATGTTTGCAATATTGAAACTTCCCTTTTGGATTTCTTTGGGGGATCCCATAAGTCATGGCCACATTCCAAAAGGTTTGCCTGACCCTGCTTCTATTTGAATTCTTCTACTCATGGTATACTTGTGAAAATCATTCTTACTTCCATGTTAATGCTGCCTTTTTAATATGCAACATAAACTTGGGAAATAAAACCTTTTTTTGGTTTTAAGATTGTAGATTTGACTTTGTAGGTATTATTGAACAAGCGTATTCCTCTTTGTTGTTGTTCATTTTGGATCTTGATCTTGGTTCATCTTAAACCCAATCTACGACCAATCTATGACCTTAATTGGTCGTTGACTATAAAGTTGTGCTCGATTTCATCATCTTTGTATTATAACAAGAGTGAGGCTCGCGGAGGATAGAGCTCGTCATACCGGCCTACCTTTTCGTTTGATTTAATTTGTTCATTTTACTTTATAACCAATAAGTTTTATGGAGAATAATTTTAATATTTTATAAGAAATAACTAATTTTTACTAAATTCATTATTTAATGTAAAGTTATTATTAGGTGCTTAGGGATAAGCACAACCGAACCGAAACCGATAACCGAATCAAACTGAATGTATTTTCGGTTTTTCGGTTCGGTTAATGCGGTGTTCGGTTTCAGTTCGGTTTTTATTTTTATTCAATTTCGGTTTTCGGTTCGGTTTATTAAAAAAATTCAGTTTTAAACCGAAAAACTGAAATATGTGTGTGTATATATTTTTTGACCAAGGTATATAATATGACACTAAGTTAGCAATAAACTAATAGGTCCAATTTGGTAAAAAAGAACTAATAGGCCTAAAGTATACTTCTAAATCCAGCCCAATATATCTCAAACCTTAACCTAATGTAAGATAGCTCATCATCTCTCATTCTCTGTAGCCGCAGCCCGCAGCCTCCTTCCCAGCGTCCTCTCAGCTTCAAAAGGTCAAAAACAATACCATCATCTTCTTGCTCATTGATCTCAGGTAGAATGCCCTCTCCCTCACACTCTCTTACTCTTCATTGCTGCCCTCTCCTTCACACTTCTTCATTGCTATCACAGTAGCGCCTCTCTCTCTCTCTCTCTAAAAACAATATATTGATGCTTTTGCTCTTCTTCTTTGCGGTGTCTCTACTTACTGCTTCATCACCTTTTTCTTCTCCATTTCATTTTCACATTGACGCTTCTGTTCTTCTCTATAGTCTTTGCTACTGTGATTGTGCTTACCGCTTCATCTCCCTCACACTTGGGATTTTATGGCGGGTTTAAACAGAGGAAAAAGTCAATAGCATTAACTGAATGAACCGACCGAACCAAATCAAGATATTTCAGTTCGGTTTCTATTCGATTAGTGATAGAACTTCGGTTTGGTTCGGTGCCTAAAAATATTCTAATTCAGTAATCGGTTACTTTGGTTTCTAGACCGAACCGAACTGAATATCTGATTGCACACCCCTGGGTGCTTATATATCGTAGAGATGTGACAGAGTAAAAGATAAATGGTACTAATAACATATTAGAAGGGGAAAATTGGAGATGAATTTCCTGCTTAGGAAATTAATTGACAAATGATCTCTAACGATTTTGCACAGCTTATAACTTTTCTTGTGTGCAATTGTCTTTGTTTGTGAGACATTTTTCCTTTATGCAACTGATTTTTTTTTTTTTTGTGGAATCTATTTTCTCTATATGCAGATTAATCCTAATGTTTTGTGCAAACCATTTTCTTTTCACACAACTTAACTTTTCTTGCGTGTAACTTATTTTCCTAATACAATCCATCATAAGGACCATTGACTAATAACTTTGAGGGATTTATCCCCAATTTTTCCTAAAATATGTAATTAATTAGATGTGTGGCTGTTAGATAGAACGAAAATGATACTGGAGTAAAAAAAGACGCACATCTAAAAGCAATACTATTACTAATTTGACTGACATTTTCTTTTACATTTTTTACGACGACCACGATAATACAAGGCACAGGACTTGGGATGGGGTTAGCATTAGATTAATCAAGATCTCTTTATTAATGACTTACTGGAAGAATTGATCTAGGATAAAGTACAACAATATTGCGTGACTCTTGTAGTCGACTTTACTTAACATGTTAAAATTGTTGTTGTTGTTGTAGTATTAGCTACTACTATAGATGCTTTTGTCATTAAATTAAACAATAATTTTTGTTGCATAATTTGAGTTGTAATAAATTGAAAATATTTTGTTAATAAAATATACTATCTTCCGTTCTTAATATAAGAGCTTATTTAATTTTTATTTTGGTCCTAAATATAAGACCTAAATCTATTTTGTCGCTTATATTTATCTATTTTTCTAAGGTAGTCCTTGGAATAATAATAATTCTAACTAATATATTTGATTAGTAAAGACATTTTAAGAAAGATAATACATATTTATTATAAATAATTAACTTAACTAGTTTTCTCAATCTACTAAAATTAGTCACTTATCTGTTATATTGAGGAATGAGGATCAAAGGTATTAAAAGGCAAATGAAGCCTTCACAAAATTCTATAGAGATAATTCGAACTAATAATCAAGAATAATGGGGGTATGTGGTAGAGTTAGTTTCCTAAACTATGCTGGACCGTTGAAAGCAATGAATGGTGAATAATTGGGTATGATTACAAATAATCCAAATAAATTGAATTTGTAACTCGACAGTAATAAGACTAAACTTGATACAATTAAGATTTCAAGTCAATTCATTTTCCCCATGTTTGAGTGTCTGACTCTTCTTCACTTTCCCATTTCTTTCTTCGGAGCCATTAACACGGAGAGAGAGAAAGAGGGGCAAAAGATTTGTCTGATATATTCCATCCCTATCTTTTTATAAATAATAACTATCATTTTTTAAAAAGTTATTTTAAATTTTATAACAAATTTCTCATTTTATCCTGATTAATTACTTATTTTAACACTCAACATATTTATTATCTCATTTTCTAAACTATCATATTTTCATAACACATTCTCTCTTTTCTATAATTTTTTTTATTATAATAATTTTTTTATTCTTTCCTTATACTTTTTTTCCCTATAAATAAGGACATCTAAGAAAAAGAACTTTTATTTATATATATTTATTGTTTTTAATTAATATTTTGATTACATAATGAGTTTTAATGTTTTTTATAAAAAGAGACAGAGAAAGTAATGAGTAATACAAGTATTCACATACATTGAGAGTCCAAGCACCCCAAATCATGGTTTAGGAAAAATACCAGCCAAACAGCTTCTGAAAAAAAATGAAACCATGGTTTGGGGGCAAACCATGGTTTTATCAGAAGCAACTCTGATCTGCTTCTCGGCTCCAGTTACTGAAAGCGCATGGTGGGCCCCTCAATAGATGACCGAATAGCCCCGTCTCCAATTATCAGAAGCAGTCGTCCAGTGGTTCATTCCTCTCCTCAATTATCAGATGACCAAATAATTGCTCTTCCTCTCCTCTTTTACGCTTTCTTCCCTAGTCGGTCTAGTGTTTCATTCCTTAGTCGTCCACGGTCTTCCTTTCCTCTTTCACAAAACGAGTCGTCGCCAGTGAAGAAGTTGCCGTCCAGCCACGGTTTGAAGGTGCCGGTGAGAGAAATCGCAGCTCTGCGAAAGAAGATCGCAGCTATCAGTTGTGAGTTCCAGCGTTCAGGTTCGGTGTGAAGCATTCGGCGGTGGTCGGTGTTCCTTGGCTCAGATCCGGCGCTCAGGTAAGGTGGCTCAGATCCGGCGTTTTGTTCTTCTCCATGGCGTCGAAATAGTCCCTGCTCTTATCCTCTGCTACTCGATGCCTTTGGAGTTTTCATGCTCTTTTGTTAATTTCAGTGTCAATTAGCTCAATTTTCGTTTCTGTTCGCTCTATTTCTGGATATTCTTTGTTCTTTGTCTATTTCTGGACATTCTTCGTTGTTTATGCCTCATGTCTCTACTGCTGGGTCTTGCGACTTGAAGGGAATGACTCTGGGTTTTTCTTACATTCGAGATTTCTTTCTTTAGCGTTTCCATTATGTTTCGAGTTGTAATAATCAGTAAAAACCATGGCTTTAGATGCTGAAATAAAACTTTTGTGCTGGAGCAGTACTGCAAGCCCTGTGCCTCACAGGATTCACATATAAGCTCAATTAATAATTCAGATTCTGCTATTTTGCTCAGAAACAAAGGAGAATTTGTTGGATTTTTGTCCATCATAATACATTCCCTTTAGGTTCAAAAGTTTACTATTTTTGGTGTACATGAATGTTAGGCTGGTGGATTGGACACGCTCACTCATAACAGCTTAGCAGCATATAGATCTGCAAATCAGCAGGCAGTGCAAATTCCATTTACTCCAGTAAGACACATCCCTCGAGCGCCGGCCGTCCAAATCAACGTCGTGGCTCAACAGGAAGCAAATCCATTTGAAGTGCAAATACCATTTGATCCATCGAGCGACATCCCTCAAATGGCAGATATGGCTCAACCACAAGCGAATCCATTTGATCATTACACGCCCTATTATCAGTCTCATCAGCAACATGATGTGTGGATGAATCTAGTCAATCCCTTTGCTCATACGGCGTATCCTGGGAATCCTGTTTCACAACCACAGGTCATTCATGGAGCGTTTCATCAAGAAGCTAACATCAGCCGAAATTGGAAGCATCCTCCAAGGGAATAATCGGTATCGATATATATAATGCAGAAAATAGAAGCAGAGAGAAAGTAGTAATTAAAACATACTGGAGTGAAAATAATACGCAGTTATGTATAATGGCCATGGACCTTGATGAGAATGAACTATGTTGATGTATTGTGGATCCATAGAATGAATAATGGAATTATTCAGTGAATTGTCTCTGTCACTGGATTGTTGTGAACTTGCTGATTTGGGATTTGATTTTCTGAAGCGCCAGAAACCCCGTCGTCATATGTATGAAAGTATTGATTTGGCAGGTTAAAATGATATGGTTCAAACTTTGTAAATCATTTAATTATATATTTTTATCTTTCTCTGTTATATATGAATAGATCATTTATATATTGGGCTCGGAGTTTTGTGTACGTAAAAATTTATAAAGTACAAAACATAACAATAATATGATTATAGTACAAAACATAAATTAACAAAAAAAATTAAAAAAAAATATGATTACATAAATTAACAATTAATTAATTAATTATATTAAACATCAGAGGTTATTATACATGTAGTATGCTATTACAAAAAATAGTTGTGAAAAAATGTTATGAAATTTCATGTTTAAAATCTTTAAAGAAAATTAATATTTTTCTGTTAGCAAAAAAAAAATTCATTTTTCTATAAACATATTTAATATTATGTTTTATAAATATATATACACATATTAATTATGTATTAATTATATTATCTTATATATTATTAATTATGTTAGTAAAAATTATTTCATTAACAATTTTATTTCTTTAAATCAAAATATATCATAAAATCTATCCCTTATATAATTATCATATTAATTTATATCCTTTTTGGTAATTTTCACATGTAAAAAGTGCTTCTGGTAATAACTATCCAAACATTCTCACTTCTCAGAATTACTTTTTCACAAAATCTATTCTCCACAGAATCTATTCTCCACAGAGGAGGTGTTTGGATAGAAACCAAACCATGGTTTCAGAAGTACTTTTACGGATTACGAAGTAAATATGTGGAGGAGGTTATCTCGTTTTGCGGAAAAGTGCTTCTGAAACCTAGGTTTTGGTTTTGCCAAACACCACCAGAATCTATTCTCCAGAAGCTATTTTCTAAACCACGATTTGGTTTCATCCAAACATACCCTGAGTCACGTGATGGTGTTAGCCAATTTACAGCTGTACACTAAATCTAGCTAATCTATTATTTACATAATTGAAGGAGTGTTTAATTTGATGAAAATCAAACTATAAATTTAAAAATAATTATATGATGTATGAAGTAAATATATAAAAAAAGTTTGTCTTAATTTATAAAAAGATATTTTTTAAAAGTATTTTTGGGTGTTCTTAAACACCTATTTAGGCTGTTGGCCATTAAAGGGGTGTTTGACAATAAAAAAAATATTTTTTTATAAATTGAGATAAATCCTTCCACATGTTTATTTCGTACATTATAAAAATATTTTTAAAATTATGATTTTGATTTCATCCAAATATTCTTTAAGGGTTTGTTTGGCTCAATAAGAGGAAGGCGAGGGGAGAGATTTTAATGGAGGGAAGGGGAGAGAAGAAGAGTGGAAGGATTTTAATATTACCTTGTTTGGATTTATAAAAAGGAGAGGAGGGGAGAAGTTTTAATATTACCTTGTTTGGTTTATGAAAAGAGGGGAGGGAAAAATATTTTAACATAAACAATTTTACCCTTATTTTATTTAAGATTATTTTTTTAAATTTTATAGAATGTTTAATAAAATAGATTATAAATAACATTTAATATATTGATTAATATTTATATCAAAATTCTAATATATTCTAGAGCATTAAGTATTATTGAAAAGAAGGTGAAGTAATGTTTAGACACAACTTGTATTGTATCTCATCTTTAAATGAAATATTTGGTCATACAAATAAGAGAGCAGCGTTTGGAGACAATAAGAGAAGGATTTAAGGTAGTATAGAGATATTAAAAATAACTATGGATTTATAGTCACAACATGATAAAATATTGCCTTTTACCTCAAAATTCTCTAAATTTTAGAGGGGAGGTTGATGAGGGAAGGGGAAGAAAAAAATTTTAAAATTTTTTCTTCCATTTAAAATTTGTGTGTTGCTAAATAAAAAAAATGATTAAATTTTTCTCCCTCTCCCCTTTTCAAATTCCTCATTCCAAATGCATCCTAAATTTCAAAGGAAACACGGCGGAGCTTCGTGGAAGCCTGTTCGCCCCTTCGTATAACTGACGTTCACTACATGATTATATACTTGTCTGGACTGGTCTAACGGCGTTATAAACTTATAATAGTGCCCAATGGCATTTTCAATTAAAAAAAAACTTTAGTCCCCAAGAAATGGAACAAGAACGCACTTGATTTATGTAATTATAGTGACTTTATTTTTAAACTAAATGGAATTGAATTTATTAATACTCATTTACATTTTTTAAACAATTTTACAACATTTCGATTTTTAATTATTTATGTTAAGACTGGGCTTATTTCATTTTTTCGATAAAAAAAATCCTTTATGAGGAAGTTTCGTGGAGGCTTGGCATCGGCCTCAATTATTGATCCGTACTCTAACCCTTCTGCAGGAAGTGGGAATTAATGCATGACAGCTTTAGCAAAAGTAGAAATGAATGCATGACAGCTTTATAATCCAAAGTAACTTCTGGGAAGCTGCCCTAATCAACAAGACTATTTTGGCCCCTAACTTACTGTACGTGGATGAGATGACCCAATAGGGTCGTACTACAAATGGGTAAATGACCGCCTCTTGTTCTCCAAAAACCACCAAGAGCCTCCTCTGTCAACCTCTCATTGTTTCCAGCCCAAGGACGACATCTTTCTCCTTTGCTTTATTCTAGGCTCCTGCGAGTCTGCTAAAATTAGCTACGCACGACGTTGCTGTCATGGCTCAACCAGCAGTGTCCTCTTGTATTGATTACAAATGGAAGTATGACGTGTTTCCTAGTTTTCATGGTGAAGACACTCGGTTAAGTTTCGTTAGCTTTCTTCGCGGATCTCTACATGAAAGAGGAATCCGTGTCTTTATGGATGATGAGCACATCAGAACGGGAGAAGAAATAACACCAGCACTTATCAAAGCCATAAGAGAATCCAGGATAGCTATCATAGTTTTCTCCGAGAACTATGCCAACTCAACATTCTGCCTGCAGGAACTTGTAGAGATTCTCGAGTGCTTTAAAGAAGAAGGTCGGTTAATATATCCAGTATTTTACTATGTGGATCCATCAGAGTTGCGACGTCCGAGAGCAAGCTATGCAGAGGCTTTGGCTCGATTGGAGAAAAGATTTAAGGACAACAAACAACAAGTAGAAAATTGGAGGTTGGCTTTGTCCCAAGCAGCTAATTTGAAAGGGTGTCATCTCAAAGCCAAGTATGTTTTTCTACCGTTTGCTTTTTTATTTTTCTTAAACTATTTGAATATTATTCTTCTGACTTCTGAGATTCTTCTAACAACGTGACCTGATTAATTAGACGTGATTAAATACAAATCCAACATGAAATGTAAGGCTTTTGATTACATTTTTGTCGTTTTCATTTCTTTGAAAAGCCCGTGCAAAAGATTATCTTGAAATAATTTTTTTCACCCTGAAATAATTTTTTGATACATTCAAACAGCCTAAAATATATATTTTCTTATAAACACTCATCAGTGTTTTAAAATAATTTTTGATGTATTCAAAATCGTCTTAAAATATTTTTTCAATAGAGCAACTATATTTCTAAAATAACTTTTTATTCTAATAACACCTGATATTTTAAAATATTTTTTTAGTAACAATAAATACTCTAAACTAAAAATACTAATTGCTATTTCAAAACAAATTTATGTTGATAGATGCATTAAAACTTATTTTAGAATACTGAGTGATACTAAAACATATTTTAAAATACAAAGTATACCAAAATTTATTTTAAGGTATTGGGCGGGTTCTCCTTAAAAACTATTTTAGATTATTGAGAGTATAAAAATTATCTTAAAATAATGAATGCTCTTAGAAAAAGTATTTTAAAATATTTAGTGTAAAAAAAGCATCCAAACCCCTTTATTATTATTTTAGAATAATGAATGCTCTTAAAAAAAGTATTTTAAAATATTTGATGTTAAAAAAAAAGTATTCAAACCCTTTTATTTTTAAGGTCAAAGAAAAACCCCTTCATTTTTGACCCAAAACGATATGGTCTTGGGTGGAGGAGGACGGTAGTCGAGGGAAAGGGTAGAGAAGAGAAACAATTTCCTTATCCTTTCTCACCCAATGCAGAGCAGCTCTATTAGTTAACATAATTATTTTAGTAGGCATACATATATGTAGCAATAATTATATATATTATTTATTGAAAAAAAAGACACAAAAAGAATCTTGAAAATGACGAATTCCAATTTTAGCAGCTAATAATTCATAATACCACGCCTTAAATAGATATTTTGAAATTGAAGCAAAATGACAGAAATACCCTTATGTTCATTTTTATATTAAAATTAGTAAAATAAATTGAAAATTTGTTATTACCATCCGAAGTTTAGGAATTGAATGTTTCCTCAATATATGATTTTTTTCTCATTTCTCAAGTATTTAAATTAAAACTGTGACTTGTTAAGCTTTATTCAAAAAGTTGTGAATGAATTATAGTTAAATTTATATATGTGTGTGTGTATTTTTGTTTTGGCATCATATTAATAGTAAAGTATTAATGACCTAATGACCATCCTTGAATTTGGCAGTTTTTTTAAGCAAAAGACATTTGTATTATTTCTATTTAATTTTAAAATGCCATTTTAGTTTCCTTCCCTTTAATGTATTATGAACCGTTAGTTTCCTAAATTTGGGTTTAGCATGTTGGAGTGCTTTTTTTTTTGTGTCATTTCCCTTTATTTATATTAAAAATTTATTTATTTATTCTTTTTATAATATGGATTGAGTGTTTTGCCTGACAATACTTACATATTTGCTTGGATAAGGAATGAGACCTTTTATAAGGATGAATAGAAGACGACAAAAGTTAGCTTTGGCACGTCATCTAATTTTTAGTTTGATTAATAGTGAACTTTTCTCTGATTGTTCAGGATTGCAAATGAGCAAGAACATATTACAGAGATCACCAATGAAGTATCAGCGAGGATTCATCGTATTCATAATCATTTACACGTTACTCGATACCCTGTTGGACTTGTGTCTCGAGTGAAAAAAGTGGTCTCACATTTAGATCTTTGCTCTACTAAGAAAAATAAAATGGTTGGAATTGTAGGACTTGGTGGGATAGGTAAATCAACGATTGCAAGAGTCTTATATAATTTGATTTCTGATCATTTTGAAGGCCTATGTTTTCTTTTTGATGTGAGGAAAAACTCTAAAATGCCAAATGGTTTGGCACGTCTTCAAGAGACATTGCTTTGTAAATTAGTCAAGGAGAAGGATCTCAAATTGGGTGATTGGTATGAAGGAATACCAATAATAAAACATAGGCTTGGCCACAAGAAAATTCTTTTGGTCATTGATGACGTTGATGAATTGAAACAATTAGAAGCACTAGCTGGAAATTGTGATTGGTTTGGTCCTGGAAGTAGAATTGTCATAACGACTAGGGATAAACAGTTGCTAGTAAGTCATCATGTGAAGAGTATTTATAATGTTGAGGAATTAAATGATGAGGAATCTCTTCAATTGCTTTGTTGGTGTGCCTTTGAAAAGGAGAATGTGGAGTTTGACTTCATGGAGGTTTCTAAACGTGCAATACGTTATTGTTGTGGACTTCCATTAGTTTTAGAAGTGACTGGTTCTTACTTATGTGGTAGAGGAGTCAATGAATGGCACTCTGCATTGGATCAATTCAAAAGAATTCCAGAAGGAAAAGTTTTGGAAGTCCTTCGATTAAGCTATGATGCTTTAGGAGAATTTGAGAAAGAAATTTTTCTACACTTGGCTTGTTTTTCCAAAGGTGAGGAATTAGGAGAAGTTAAGGGCATGTTGTTATGTTTATATGGAATCCCACTGGATAATGTTATTAATGTTCTAGTCAATAAATCCCTCATAAGAATTGAAGGAGATCAGGTGTTAATGCATGACGTGATTGAAGATATGGGTAAAGAAATTGTTCGACAAGAATCACCAGATGAACCCGGTAAACGAAGTAGGTTATGGTTCTACCAAGATATTCTTCATGTTTTAAATCGAAACACAGTAAGATCACTGATATATGAATTCTATTTTTTATTCTTTAAAATTACGTTATGATTTTTGCATGTCTAAGTTTTGAAATTTATTGTGTGCTATTCATTTTGACAGGGAACCAATAAAGTGGGAGTCATATTTCTAGACCTACCTGAAGACTTTTCTGAAGATAATGAAGTACAAATGCAATGGAGTGGAAAGGCATTCATGAAGATGACAAATCTCAAAATCCTTGTGATAAAAAATGCAAGCTTTATTTCAAAATGCCCCACACATCTTCCAAAGAGTTTAAAGTGGTTGAAATGGAAGGGGTATCCTTTCAAGTTTTTGCCGCATAATATTTGTTCAACAGAACTTATTTGTCTTGACTTGTCGAATAGTTGTTTTGATACACTCCAGCCATTTACGAAGGTACGTATGTATGTATATCTAACACTTGTCATATTTCTTCATGGTTTATGTGTCTAACTTTCTAAGAATTTATTTTGTTTTTGCAGAAGTTCCACACTTTAAGCCGCATGAATTTTAGAAATTGCCAATTTCTACAACAAATTCCAGATTTATCTGGAGTTTTTAATTTAAGAGAATTGTGGCTTGATGATTGCACAAATTTAGTTGAAATCCATCATTCAGTTGGGTGTTTAAATAAATTGAAGGAATTGAGTGCCATGCGATGCAATAGCTTGGAAATTTTGCTTCCAGACCTTAGACTGGTATCTCTTGAGAATCTCAACCTCTATGGTTGTTCAAGGCTCTATAGTTTCCCAGAGATATTGATTGAGATGAAATATATGCGAAATCTTCACTTGGGTAGAACAGCCATTATTGTGTTGCCATCTTCAATTTGTAATCTCATTGGACTTGAAACCTTAAACATAGAGGAATGTCCTTATCTTGAGCAACTACCAACTACCATTTGTTTGCTGCCAAATCTTTGGGAGCTAAATGCAACTTCTTCTAAAGTATTGTCTCATATAAAGATGTATAAGGAAGGACAAGAAGAAAACTTGGATTGCTATGCACTGTCTTTGAAATTGGAACGTTTTTGCTTCTCAAAATGCAATTTATCAGATGACTCTCTTGCTCTTTGCCTCTCTCACTTCACTAATATGATACATTTAGATATAAGCTTCAGTAGTCGTGTTACGACCCTTCCAGCATGCATCAAGGAATGTCACCATTTGAAATATCTTTCCCTGGATCATTGCAACCGACTTCAACATATTGAGGAGATGCCACCAAACTTGGAAAAATTCAGTGCCATATGTTGCATGTCATTGACAAAAAGATCTGAAAGCAGAGTATTGTATCAGGTCTCTCTTCTTCTATCCCTCCCTCTATGTGTATATAATCATCTCTCTACATTTTATTTATTAGTTTTTTTTTCTTTCAAATGCAATTGATAGGTACTCAACTTGCAACCTGGGAAAACAAACTTTATCTTTCCTGGAGGTAAATTCCCAGAAAATCTTGATAGTTATAGTAGGAGAAGCTGTGTGTCTTTTTGGGTTCGTGATGTGTTTCCAACAATTTTTATATGGATTCTTGTGAAACAAGATCAGGATTTTCTCTTCAGTTGTTCATTCTTGGTGCACGTCAATGACGTCAAGCTAGATATTTCTTCTGAGTGGCTTCTGTTATCAACAATGAAAATGGATCATTTATGTATATGCGATCTACAAAGTATGATTCCCAAGGCTGAACTCCCACATCGAAATAAATGGAATCATGTGAAGGTTTCCATCAAGAGCAATGCCCAAGAAATGAAAAATGAAAGGGATCAATTTCACTTAGCCCTTCATGTTTATAAGCAACAAAAAAACTCAACACCATCCGATTTATGGATCCTAGGAAAACATACATTGATAGTAACTCCTGGGAAAGATTACAACATCCACAACACCGGGAAGAACTTGAAGAAAACATGTTTTACCAAGGTTGGGTTTCTCCTTTTTTTCTGTGTTACCTACTTTAATATCTTTCTCATGTCAAAACATTGCTTGATTACTAGTAATGACAACAAATCCAACAAACTAGGTGAAACAAAGATGGGGATTGAAGGAGTTGACGATAGAAACAGATAGGATCTAATTAAAAAAGAGAAATTACAAGAAATTTTAGATTAATTTACCCTTAAAAATATGGTGATTTTGAAGCTTATTTGTTTTATTACTTATGCAAGTTGACTATTGCATAACTAATACAAATGTAAATAGACATTTTTAACTTGAGATGATAATATTTCAATGTACTTGTTTAGACCTAGCTCCAGGTGTGGTCAATCTCAAGGCCCAGGTTTCACGAATGAAGAACATGTGAAGGCAGAGCGAGCGTTATTACCATCCACATGGAATTATGATGTGTTTTTGAGTTATAGAGGTGACGATGATGAATGTTCAAGTTTTGTTAGCATCTCTACAATTCCTTATGTGAAAGGAGAATCCATGCCTTCATTAACAATCAATTTCTCAAGACAAGTGAGGAAGAATTGAAAGCAATACAAGAATCCAGGACCACTATCATAGTTATCTCCAAAAACTATGCATCCTCAACATCTTGTTTGGATAGTCTTGCCACCATTCTTGAGTGCTTTAGCATAGAATGTCGATTGTTTATCCAATTTTTTATGGCGTGGAGCCATTAGAGCTGCGAGATCAAACAGGGAGTTACGGAAAAGTATTTGCAAGGCTTGAGAAGATATACAAACACAACAAACAGTTAGTGCAAAAATGGAGGCTGGCTTTGTCTAAAGCAGCTAACTTGAGAAGCATTACCAAGTATGTCCTTACCCTTTTTCTTAATTATTCTTATTTTTGGACATTACTTTAGCTATTAATACTCCATATCTCAAATTGGTTCATTAAACAAAAATTCATAAATAAGACATACTACTTCCTATTCTTAACATAAGAGCTAATTGATTCATTTGAGTAAATTAAGAAAATTAGTTCAGTTAGTTATTTGTAATAAACAGGTATTATCTTCCCTAAAATATCCTTGCTAATCAATTGTCATTTGATAAAAATATTTGATATGTGCAATTATTACAAAGACTACTTTAGAAAAAAAAAGAATAAATATGAGAGACAAAATGGATTGAGATTTTATATTTAGAACCAATTTGAAACTTAAACTAGTTTTATATTAAGGACCGAAAGTAGTATCATTTATAATCTATGAATATGAGTTATTCAAATTTTGATATTAGTTGCATATAAAATATAGTTTTTGATTTTATATCAATATAACTCTAATATACATTATTCTACTTTACGTGGGAATAATATATTGATAAAAATGCTTTGCTACTACCGGTTAACATGAGATATATTATTCCTGGTTCCTCCCATAATGAGTAGAATGAAAAAGGATAAAAGCATAATTTTGTAAATGAAAAGTATTTTTCATGTATTTGAATAAAAATTAATAAAATCGAATTGCAAATTCATATTAGTAATATAATAAGTATTGTATATCTTGTGTTGCACAAATCAAACCAGATGTCCAAATGGAAATGGAGATCATACTTGCATTGAGGGGAAAATAAGAAAATGAAGCTCATAAGACCCCTTTTTAATTTTTTGAATTTATAATAATTTTGAATATTTATTCCAAAAACGTTCAAAACTATTTTTTAAAAATTTGAAAAGTTTAGGCACAGTTATTGAACAATGGCCATATGCATATACTCCTCCGGTCCTTAATATAAGATCTAATTGTTAAGTTGATTTTGATCTTAAATATAAGATATATTTTTTATATTTATTTATTTATTCTAAATTATCCCTATGGATACTCCCTCAATATAATCAAGTAAAAGAAAAGAAAGATATTAAGGAAGATAATTATGGTGTTTTAGGAAAAACATATCATATTTTTTAAATTAATTAACTTACCTAACTTTTTTAATCTAATCAAATTAGTTAATAGGTCTTATATTAAGGATCGAAAGAGTATAATTGAATTCTTTCAATGATCAAAAGGCTCGGCACGAAAAGAAAAAAAAGGACAAAAAAAAGGGAACATGTTTGATTTATGTAATTATTTTAATTAATAACTATACAGTCTGAATTACAAATTTATTCATCACTAGAATGACTTAGTAATTTTTTTAATATATGTGACTGAATTTAATATTATTTTAAAATTTTTGTAATAATTTTACCACATTTCAATTTTTAATTCTTTATGTTAAGAATGCTATTAATTTTTATTGGGAGAAATATGTTTTGAGGGGGGGAGCATGGCTTTTATTTCTAAAAATAGCATATCGTAATTTTTTGTTTGACTAAAAAGTGAATTTCTTCTAAATTTGTCAGTAATGCTAAAGAAGACGACCATATTATTGAAGAGGTCATTTTGAACCTCAATGGAAGGATTGGCGGAATTTTTTTCCCTCCATAACGTTTTGAACTCCGCAAATCTTTTGGGACCCAAAACGTGTGACAGGGAATGTCAAGAAGTATTCTCACTTCTCGATGTTGGGCCTAATGAGGAAGTCAAAATGGTAGGAATTTGGGAACCACTTGACTTAGTTCGAATAACACGTGATGTGAGTCGTTTATTGCTCGTCATTTTGAAGATTTTTGGTATTTTTTTAATTCTCGGGAAATAGTCAGGAAGGGCAGTGTTTCCACATTGGATGGTTTCCGTGATTTGATAAAACAACCCTGGTTCCCACAGAAGAAGATTCTTGTAATTATTGAAGATGTTGAAGAATTGGATAGGTACGAGCAATTAGAGAATGTGATCGGTTTGGTAAAGGAAGCAGGATCATTTTCAGGACAAGGGATAGGCAGTTGTTAATAAGTCTTGGTATCCAAGAAATTTATGATGCAGGTCACCGGCCAACGGAGCTACAGAGAAAGGAAGAACGAGGTAAGAGAAAGAAAGAAGACACTGACAGCTCAGAGACACAAGCTGAGGGAAAGAAGCGCCATGCTTGAAACATTATGGAGCGCTTCATATGGTGAGGGTCGATTGGTATCCAATACTTTTACTAGTGGATCTTTCAGAGGGGAAATAACAAACTATGGAGGATATGAATTGGGATTCAAATTTAACAAAATTTGTCAATTCACTTGGGTCAGCCACGAGCTCCATGAGTTTCCGAGGTAATTTTTTGTCCTTCCTATTTCTTTTCATGTCTGCCACTGACATTCTCTAACATAGTATATATAAGCTCTGCTGCACCACGTGGTTTTGATAACACATATAACTTGGCTATATTTGTTTTTCTTAGCTTTTGTCCCATGCAAATTTGTCACATTTGTAGCAACTTTAAAATTACAATTGATAGAAATATACTTACTTATAATGGCAAGAAGTTAGAACTATCGACCTCCATTCCTAGGCATACGTTGTACTGTTCTGTATTTCAACTGATTGAAGCACCAAAATTACCCAACACAAAAATATCTGATGTCACGTTGTTAGCAATACATTTGTATAGGCAATACAAATATACTAGTTTTATATATTTGGAATGTTTTTGCTGCCATTTTTCCAATATATGAATGCTTTAGTTCATGTCATATATGAGGATAATTCCCCTTTCTAAGTTTGTAACTTTTCATTATAGCAACAAATATACGTTTAGTTGATTCTTTTTCATCCATTATATACCTTGCTTTGAAGTGAGTTATATATTCCAACATGAACTTCGATAAGTTATTATAATGTTCTATGAACAGAAGTTATTACAGCAGTGTGATAAATTTGGACGCAATGTATATACATGAGCATGTCGAAAGAGGCAATAATGGAACATTATACTCAATTATCATGATGCCCATTCATGTGATGATCTGTACTCTTGTGAGTTCTTCCATAACTTCTTTTTCTTCTTTCGCAGTTTTCCAATTTCTTGGACACCAAGGCATGACCGTGTATATATGTTCAATTCTCCAGGGTCTTCTTCCTCTTATCTGTGAGTTGTTTTTGTATGCTTGCTTTCATGCTCTTCTGAAAAGGCACTTAAATCTATAACCCGTAATCCAGGGCCTATTTGAGTTTGGCCCAATAAACCGAACGTACAGAAAGTCTCATTAAACTAAGCTCAATCTTAACAATTCAGGCTTTTAAACTGGCCTGTAAACCCAATTTTTTTGGGCCTTTATAATAATAATAATGATGATAATCATAATCATAATAATATATATTTTTTCATTTTTGAAGTTTACCTTGGTTTTTCCCTTTAAAAATAAAATTCTTTAGCTAAAGCTACAACCATAATTTGAACAAGGCAAAACATGAAAATAACATGAAGAAAAAAGATTAGAAATTGGTTCAAAAGGGAAGGTTACAAATACAAGTCCACCAAGATAAATCATCAGACAATTAGTTAAACTTTTATTTGAAAATAACTTAGTGTCAGAATTTAAACAAGTTCCACTAAATTTTTCTTTGCCAGGAGAAAGCATCCCGAAATGGTTTGATTACCATAGCAAGGGAAATTCAGTGTGCTTCTGGGTCTAAAAACAGTTCCCTGCAATTGTGGTGTGTGTTCTTTTTAGAGTTTCTGTCCAGCAAGAAATTGGAACACACAAGAATGGTGTAGAGATCCAGTGTATTGGATTTCACGTATGCAAGCAAGAAAATGGCATGGAGAATATTCGGTTCACGAAGCCTGATTACCCCAAGCGAAAATACCATAACTTCTACAACTGCAATAATGACTTGGAGCAAGATTTCAACTCCAGTGAGGAATTATTGGAATAACTAACTTTAATCAACTCTATGCTCAATATTTCTATTCGATGTGTTTT